AAACTACAGGGAACTCTGCAAAAAACGCATCTTCGCACGGGCAGCCCGTGCGTTGGCCAATTTTTTTTTTGATATTTAGAGCAAATTTTTAGAATGTTTCTACCGAATGTTGTGACTACAATACTATAATTAGTTTCAGCTGTTGGCATCTGAAACTGGCTCATTCATAATCGATGGGATTCCATCAGTTCGATTCTCTCTACCGGATCCAGCTGTAAGTTACAGTTTTTGTTTTAATGTATGATCAGCTTTTGATTCCAACAAAATAATTTTTTAAGTTTTTATTCTTGATTTTTTGAAAATATTTTATTTTGCAAGTTTAGTTGTTTGAAGCTATTTACCAAAAAATTTCCACAAAAAATTGCAGTTTACAATTACTTGAAACTGGAAAAATTCGGAAAAATCATATAGTTTTTTAAAATGACAGAAACCGAAAAGCAAATGAAAAGCATAATCTCAAGAATTTGAAAAAATCGTAATTAGTAAAAGCGGTGCTGATTTATTGGAAAAATTTTCTTCCAATAAAATTGTTTTTTCCCAAAAGTAATTCTAGCGATTTGCAAACTATAAACCTACTTTTTGTTTTTTTTCAAAGCTACTCTTAATTTTCGATTGATGCGTTAGGCATTTTCATGCTGAAAAGTTGCACCATAAGTTGCGAACTTCGTGGACAGTCTTCCAAAGAACTGTTGATATCCGGAATACTTTTAATTAGTTTAACAACTTAATTGTTGCGCATTGAATTGTGGTATTTTGCAGAATTCCATCCGCATGATCAGTTATCCACCTCTTTATCGACCCGGCATATTTGAGAGGTCATTCGCCGAACATAGTGGTTATCGATTTTCGCTTAAACAGGTTTACTGAAAAATATTTTGAATAGCTATCATTTCACCGTAGTTTTTCTTGTCTCCAACGGACAGCATTCCAATGGGCGCTCCATTGACAGCGACATCATAATAATTTTTTTAAAGAAGGTTTAAGAGAAATTATGAGAGATCCGACTAAATTTTTTGAAAATTTGCCAAAGTTTCAAGAAAAAAATAAGAAAAATTAAGTTCGGGGAATATAAAAGTTAGCATGACAAAAACATCTAGCTGGAAATCAAAGCATAAAAAAATTTTTGTTGGTTTCAGTAGGTATCTAATTTTTTATAGAGATTTTGGCAAAATATGCAATTTTTCGAGAATGATGGGCCATGCTTTCTGGTACTTGGTGGAATGGCTGAGGCATCGCCAAAATGGATTCTGAACAACGAACTACCGGTTATGAAGTTGGCCAGGAAGTACCATGCCGCAGTATTTCTGCTTGAACATCGCTTCTATGGCAAAAGCCTTCCAGAACAGTAAGAATTCCTCGCAGTCGTTCTAGGAATACGACGGACTCTGTGATGCAGTACCCAGAAGTCGCTCTCTTAGGACCCACTTGATGTTTGAATTTACGGCCAGAAGATCATATACAGCTAAGATATACATAAAAACAACTTTCATGCTCTTCGCCATCCAATGGATGCGGATACGCGGAAACTGACTCTAAAATTTTACAGTTCCACAACCAAACTAGCTAGAAGAGAAAAAACGACCGTTAGGATCGTCAGCATGCTGGCTACTGAGCAATGAAATAGAACTAACTCAAACAACTAAAATTTACTGGAAGCATGGTTGGAAAATCGACAAAAATGGTGATGTGTCCAGTAAAAGAAGTGAGGTGGAGTTATAAAGTACACATATCTCAAGAAATTTAACGTACGCCAACTTTTCGTTTTCACAATGTCTTTTTTAAAAACTCAATTTCGTTTTTCTGACAGCACTTTGTGAGCGCTTAAGTTAGATTTGTAGCGGTTTTACAATGAAGAATCTTCGCTTTCTGAATATCGAAAATGCGTTGCATGACATAAAGGAATTTATCAATCGAATAAATGAGGAAATGCGTCACGAGTCTGGCAGTCCTCAAAACTGGGTTTTATTTGGTGGATCATATGCAGGTATCGTTTAGATTTTTCCGTCATTTTTTCCGCTCATTTATTACCAACATGGCGTCTAACTGTGACTGTCCAGGCACTTTCGATATTTCCTAATGTTTTTTTCTTTTTCGTACTTTATCTCATTTTGTGTTTTATTTTCCTTTTGCTAAAACAATGTCTTATCTCAATTGTGGACTGTTTTCGCGACTATTTTTGGTAAAGTCTAAAAAACTAGTACCGTTATTGGCTATATCACTCGTAAGCTGTCCGGATATGATTCAGTGGTAAATCAGTAGTCTCTTCAAGTAAATTCGAGCAAGTTTACAAGAC